AAATAGAAGAGGGATGCGGTGAAAACCACCGCATGAACGTCCAAAAAAGCAAAGCAACAATAGCAAGAGGATTTCTTCTTCCCTTGGCATGCGGTAAGCTAACAAATCTTTGAAATCAAGGACTCACCTCAATGCCAGCAAGAAGGGATTTTACAAAGCTAATGTTGTTGGCTGGAAATCCAAGAAGGTCCACATACTCGGGACAAGTTTGAGAGAGTAAAACACCAAGGCTTCAAATCCAAAGTGCCCACCCATTAATTCCCAAGGCAGCAAATTAAGGTTCAAGTGGTGTAAAACCACATCAAATGTAGGGGTGGCCCTGAGGGTGTGCAAGTGGTGCCACCGCATAGGTCCCCTGATTTTTGAAGGCCCCCGATTGTTTTTATGTGTATAATATATATATATATATATATATAATATATATATATATATATATATATCGAGTGAGCAAATTTTTGACACAAAGACTTTTCTAGTTGTGCTGGTTTGCAGGGCCTCAACTTCTATTTAGGGCGTGACTTCAAAACCCGCTTGTGTAGATCATAGTTTTAGTTCTTTTTTGGGTTTTTTTTTATAACAAAACTTAATAATCATAATAAAAAAAGAATGCAAACACGTTATTTTCTGTCATTAATAATCATCTTTCTTTGGCTCTCTTTATTAATCATTTGATAATTGTTTTTTCAATTTCAAGGATTTCAACGCAAAAAATCGACCAAAAAAATTCATAAATGTCACTCGAAAGCAAATAGTCAAATTTAAATCTGAATTCAAATCAAGTATGTATCTAAATTTTAATTTATATATATACTAAATGACTTGCTTCATCATCATGTTGATTGGTTATATAATGAAAGATGATTAAATTTGTAATTTGTATGCTAATTGATGATGATTTTTACTTTAAGAAAATCTTGAGGCAATCTTGAGGATTTTTGCACAGTGCACCCGAGTTTGATTCACGTAAAAGACAATCTTGAGGCACCCTCAAAAATAAAATAAAAAAGATCAAATTGAAAAAAGTAGTATAAAAATTATAGTTGAAAATGTACATGACCAGTAAAATTTCTTTAAAGAACAGAGTCATATGCAAATGAGACGTAGCTAGCAGCAAAACCACCATAATGACAATAAGGGTAATTGAAATTTTGGTTTGTTTTTTTGAAACTGATTGTTTTCGTTGAAAGATGAAAACTGCTCTATGATCTGTCAATCACATAATGCTACAACCACTGTTTAAAGCAGCTTGTCTGATGTCAACACCAACATTCAATATCCCCGCTACTTTCACAACCACATACTGAAATAATAAATACCCGATTACAAGGAGTTAGTTAGTAATTATGTAGGCAAAGGTCATGCTCCCTATTCTTTAGTTAAAATTTAGCTAAAAACACACAAAAGTTATTTTAGGAACTCTATAAAATTTGAACTCCAATCATACTCCCTAAGTTAGAAAGTCATAAATACTATAGTTCTTTTTTATTCAATATGATTGGTTATCATCTCTATGAAAAAAAAAATAGTTTTGTATTAAATAAAAGTTTAAACGATGCATAAAACGAAACAACATCAAATTATAAGGAGCCACTAGGAGTTCTTTTTCTCTCCTCAGATTTAGGAGTTCCTAGAGGTCTCTTTATTTAAAAAGGTGAATAAGGAGCATAGTGGGACTTGCATTTTTCTAGTTCCTCCCTAAAATTTGTCTAAGGAGGTGGTTTAGGGACCCCATTGTAGATGTTTTACGTGCGAGTAATTATATTGTACGTAGTATGAGAGTATGTCACATGATATAACTCGTTTGTTAGAATATATATATATATATAAGTGGATATTTATAGATATTATATCATAAAAGTGAGAAATATTAACCATATCACCCATCCATATTATAACGCGTTGACGCAGTAAAGCGTACGTACATGTGGGTTTTTGGCAAGTCATTAGACAGAAACAAGTTTAAACACTTAAATCAATCTCAACCACATGATTTCATTGAAATAGATCCAATGACTAAGCACCTCATTCCTCAAATGATGACACTGAATCTCTCAATTGCATGCATGCCACTATATATATATTCTTCAGCAAGAATATTCTAATTGCCCCAATAATATCTATGTTCCCATGTGCAGACATTGCGTGTCACGTGCGTACGTCCCCCCCCCCCATTGACTTGACGCTAGCTCTTCAATTACTTATGTAGATATTTTTTTTTTCTTCAAGTGCCTATAGAGATAAGACTTCCATAAATAGGGCTCATGTAACATTCCGATCGACCAATGGAAAAAGGGTGATGTGCCTTATATGTGAATGCCCACCTCCATCTAGCACGAGGCTATTTTGAGAGTTCACTGGCTTCGGAGTTAGGGGAACTCCAAAGTTAAGCTAGTTTGGGCTAGAGCAATTCCAAAATGGGTGACCCACTGAGAAGTTTCTCATGAGTTTCTAGAAACAAAATCGTGAGGGCAAGAGGGGGCCCAAAGCGGACAATATCATGCTATAGCAGAGCCGATCCAGGGTGTGACATAATGGTATCAGAGCCACTCTGTCGTATGGTGCGAGTGTGCTGACGAGAATGTCAGGCCCCTAAGGGAGGTGGATTGTAACATCCCACGTGGACCAACGGAAAAGCAATGATGTGCCTTATATGTGCATGCACACCTCAATCTAGCACGAAACCTTTTGGGAGCTCACTAGCTTTAGTGTCAGGGGAACTCTGAAGTTAGGCGAGTTTGGGCTAGAGCAATTCTAAGATGGGTGACCTACCGGGAAATTGCTCGTGAGTTCTTAGAAACAAAACCTTGAGGGCAAGAGGGGCCCAAAGCAGACAATATCGTGCTACGTCGGAGGTGATCTGGGTGTGACGGCTCACCTCGATTAAAAATGTGGTTAGTAAAGTGGTACACGATTGTTTTTATATATGCTTAGATATTCAATTTTGCAAAAATAATGCATCCAACTAACTCAACCAAAAAAATTGCATCCAATTAATGATGTTCTTGGAATATTGATACAAAATAAATTAGGTGTTAAAAAATATTTAATATTTGAATATGATCTATGATGACAAAGACTCATTATCACAATCATGATGATTATTCAAAAGGTGTAACATCCTTGACCCAATTTAATCGATCTAATCAAATTTAATTCTTTTGTAAAATTTTAATTTTGCCCTTGGGAGTAGGGGTACTTTGGTCACTTTAAGAAAAAAAAACATTTATTGTATGACATTACATAATGGTGTAGGTTTGTGTTAACTTATGTGAGGCCCCAGTTTAAGGTTCGCACAAGGCCTTCAAAATCTCAAGACCGGCCCTGATTCAAGGTATAGCTAACGTTTTACCTTCCAAGAAAATGATAGCTAAACTAGCCAATTCCAGTTAATGAGCATTTGGGAGCGCCAAAAGGAATTTATATAGGCTCAACTTATGTTAATAAACAACTCTACTTTTCTTCACAATAGTTGTAAATTGTAATGCAAACGCTGCCGTAATATGACATTGTTTCCGGCCCACTGTCTTTATCATTTTGACCTGTCTTTTTTTTTCATATAGCTATTATTTTTATTTTTCCTTATATATATGGCTTTTTATTACAAAACATCCATGAAGTTTGTGAAACTATCAGATTGCATTCTTAAAGTTTTTTTGTATCACTCGTGGTCCTTAACATTAATATGAGTGATCTTAAATAGTCCATCCATAAAAAAAATCATTAAATCCCTATTTTATAAGGGATATAATCGTCAGATCAATCCCTTTTTGACCTCTTCAACGCCTCAGACCCATTTGCCACCAATTTGGAACCATTTCCCTCCATCTTCTTTCATCACCCTCTTCCGTCAGCAACTTGCATTAGTGTACCTCCATGGTGAATATCAAGAGTAAGCTTGTTAGGATTTGCCAGAACAAACACTTAATCAATCCCAACAATTGAAGTACGTTTTTTTTACCTTCATTACCTATTTCAAGCCCTAATAACATACATAAGACAAACCAACACTAGCTATTTCAAAGCCTTTCTATAATAATACATACCCCAACCGCATGAAACAAACCAAATTTAAATTCTTCAGTAGATTCTTACCTTTATACTTTGGAGCCTTTCCCCCTTTTCGGTAGTTTTCATTTGCTCATCAATCTTCTCGATAGTTTTCATTTGCTAATCCATCTTCTCTCAATCACTTCTGCAGATAAGCTTTACCGCCCAATTTTCCACCACTGAAAAATCTCATTTCTTAGAAAAAGCTTAGAAATGAGTATGATGATGTTGACGACGACTCTAGGAAATATATTTGAAGTGTGAGGAGGTAAAAGGGAGTTGATCTGACGATTATATCCCTCATAACATGGGGATTTAATGATTTTTTTGACGGAGGGACTATTTAAGAGCACTCATATTAACGTTATGGACCACGAGTGATACAAAAAAACTTTAAGGATGCAATCTGATAGTTTCACAAATGTCAGGGATGTTTTGGGATAAAAAGCCTATTTATATACATATATACATACACTGCATGTCACACACAATTTGCGGCCTTAAGCAGTAAGCCTTCTCTGTTTTCATAAATAGCAGAGCAGGACAGCCATTACTGAAGAGAAAGAGAGACACACTTAATTATATTTGATTCTCTCTCTCTCACACATCAGGCTTGGCTTGTTTTTGTGTTTTTCTTGGTGATTTTTTGAGTGAAGTCCAAATTTAGTTCCTCAAGCTTTCATCCGTGATCATAAAGCCAGAGAGTGTGCTCGGATCCAAATTCACTGACAAGTACATCCAGCTCTCCAGCATTTGCTTGAAGTAACTCAGAATCCAAAATCACTGCAAACACACCAATACAACCAAAAGCTAAACAGAGCAAAAAAGAAGCTTGTTCTTTTCGCAAAGCCAGAGAAACACCTTTACTATATATAACCAATAAGCAGTTCTAATCCCAAACCCAAAAAAAGCACTTCTAGTCCCATCAGTTTTTTCATTGCTTTCTCTTTACAATGGACACATTGCAAGGAGGGCAATTTGGGTTGGTTTTGCAGCAAGCCAAAGCCACACTGATTGTGCCATTGCTGAAGTTTTTGGTGGTTGTGTGCTTGGGCATGTCTCTGATGCTTGTTGTGGAGAAGGTGTACATGGGCATAATGATAATATTGATTAAGCTGTTTAGAAGGCCTGTGAAGCATTGGAAATGGGAGGCCATTAAGGATGATGTTGAGCTTGGGAACTCAGCTTACCCTATGGTTCTTGTGCAAATTCCTATGTACAATGAAAGAGAGGTACTTGTTTCTTTTTTCTTTTGAAAAGATAGTTTATTTGTATTTGGAGTTTTTTTGGAAGTGCATTGTGCTGCTTGACGCAGGTTTATCAGCTTTCTATTGGAGCTGCATGTGGGCTTTCCTGGCCTTCGGATAGGATCATAATTCAAGTTCTTGATGATTCAACAGATCCAACCATTAAGGTACTCATTTATTTAATTTAATGATTTTTTTTTTCCTTTTGCATATTCTTTAACCAAAGTTGGTAGACCGATATGTCATATTGCTCTGATAAAGTGTAAATTTGTAATCGGTATTTAAACAAACATGTTATTAGTAATTTCATCATACTGTTTCACAAGAGAATATTTCGTATTATTTTGTATATTGTTTAAGTTTTTTAGTGTCTCTGGTTCAAATCTTGTAAAAGTGTTTCAATGATTAGTCTATCAAAGAGAAAATAATAGTCTATCAAAGAGAATAAAAAAAGTCATCTTGGTCAACCTCATAGATAAATTTTAACCAATCAAAATCCATTCACTAATGTTTACCAATCCAAACTCAGCCATGCAACTTTTGACCTTTCGGGAAAAGAGTCCAAAGCAGCAATTTCCGCATCAAAACACATAGAGACCAAAACTTTCCCAATTCACTCAACAAACCTTTCAATTTCTGATGTGGGTTTTTTGGCCTTAAAAAAATTACAGGATTTGGTGGTGCTAGAATGCCAAAGATGGGCAAGCAAAGGAATAAACATAAAGTACGAGATCAGAGACGACAGAAATGGGTTCAAAGCAGGGTCTCTCAAAGAAGGCATGAAGCACAGTTATGTCAAACTGTGTGACTATGTTGCCATCTTTGATGCTGACTTCCAACCTGAGCCTGATTTTCTCTACCGCACCATTCCATTTCTGGTCCACAACTCTGATATTGCTCTTGTCCAAGCTCGCTGGAAATTTGGTAGTCTTATGATTATTCTTGTTTTTATTGTATTTAATTAAATTAAGCTCGTTAGTGCTTAGGTTTGGTTTTGGTGACAATGCTTGCTATGAATTTATTGGTTTTTGGATTTAAGTTTCTGGGTCTCTTTGACAATGCTTCTTTTCTTTAAAAAAGATATAGAAATATAGAGATAGTGCTTAGACACAGAACAAGTTTTATTCCACTTATGTTAGTTAGCTGTGAGCATAGCATCATAATTTTTTTTTCCTACTTTGATGCGTAAGGAACCAAATCCCGATTAATCGTATGTATTTTTAATTGTATTTGTTTAGATTTTTAATTGTTTTGTGAAATAACTTGTGAGAGAGAGGATAAGTCTTTACTGGTTATCCAATAAAGGAAAATAGAGGTGTAGACACGCAAGGGTAAAGGTAAGGGATGATGATAGCTTCTTGGTGGCATTGCAGTAAATTCAGATGAGTGCTTGATGACAAGGATGCAAGAGATGTCACTGGATTACCATTTCACGGTGGAGCAAGAAGTGGGGTCTGCAACTTATGCCTTCTTTGGTTTCAACGGTAAATTTTATTTTATTTTTTGAAAATTACTAAGGGAGCTATGTAGAAAAGTTTCAAGTATCCCTAATTAATGATATGACACTGGGAATGTGATGCAGGCACGGCGGGTGTGTGGAGAATTGCAGCGCTCAATGAGGCTGGAGGATGGAAGGACTGCACAACAGTGGAGGATATGGATTTAGCAGTCCGAGCTAGTCTCAGAGGCTGGAAATTTGTATATCTTTCTGACCTTAAGGTAATGAACTTTGTTAAAATGGTTGTAGTCTTGCAAAATATCAAGAAATCTCAAAAGAGGTTAGCTACCTACGCTTACAACGAGCTAGAATTAGACATCCTCTGTTATTGAGGTTTCATAAATTACCTCAGAAATAAAATTATGCTGTTTTAGTACAATTCCATTGACATGGACAAATCCCATATGATGCTTTCTTTGTTTCTGGGAAGAAAAAGGCATGCATGCATGTATAGTGCACGTACTGTAGATGTAATATGAAAACATGTTGGGAAAACAATGGAAACTTGTTTACTAACCAATCTGAGTAGAGAGCAAAAGGTTGTCAACTTTTCATTGGTCTTTTCCTCTTTGTGTGATATTTTCAATATGACCATTTCACATTTGATCCCATATTAATAATTGTCTACATTTTAGGTGAAAAATGAATTGCCGAGTACTTTCAAAGCCTACCGTTCTCAGCAGCATCGATGGTCTTGTGGCCCTGCTAATCTCTTTAGAAAGATGGTAATGGAGATTGTGAGAAACAAGGTATTTCCCTACCATATCTGTTTTAGTTTTTGCCTAAGTTTATTACTTCATACTCACTGTTACTTTATAATATATTGCAGAAGGTGTCCCCATTGAAGAAGTTTCATGTGATCTACAGTTTTTTCTTTGTTCGCAAAATTGTAGCACATATCGTCACATTTGTCTTCTACTCTGTCATTTTACCAGCAACAGTTTTGGTTCCTGAAGTTCATGTTCCCATGTGGGGTGCTGTTTACATTCCTTCTACCATTACTCTCCTCAATGCTGTTGGAACTCCTAGGTCTCCTACTCTCCCCTTTGTTCTTTTCCTTTTTAAGTGATCCAGTTTTCTTTTTTCTCTTGTGGTACGTCGCATTATTAATAGCAAGCTATTTAGCTTTTCAACCAACACTGTTTTCTTGGGGTTTGGGTTTACTGTAGGTAACGTTGTTTCATCCTGTTATAAACTTTAGCAAACCTGCAGAACTTCTGGCTCTCCATTGACAGATATGCAAATGTTTTCCTTTGTATTTGCTTATTCATTGCTAATGCTTTCGAGGTCATATTTACAGATCACTCCACCTATTGATTTTCTGGATCCTCTTTGAGAATGTCATGTCTCTGCACCGGACTAAGGCAACATTTATAGGTCTTTTTGAAGCAGGGAGAGTAAATGAGTGGGTCGTCACTGAGAAACTGGGAGATTCTCTCAAGAAAGATCCCAGGAAACCTCGATTAAGAATTGGAGAAAGGTATATTTCTATGCATTTGGTTTCTGTTCTGTTGATAGAACTCCTTTAAAATGAACTACTTTTCAATTTGTTATGATAGCATTTGATGCCACAAAATCTTGTCAAATGTAAGAATATGAAGTTTACATTTTCTTTTCTTTTCTTTTGATTACTAATAAACAGACTACATATGCTTGAGCTCATTGTTGGATTCTACGTCTTCTTCTGCGGCTGCTATGACCTTGCCTTTGTAAAGAACGGCTACTTTATCTACCTGTTCATCCAATCTGTTGCATTCTTCATTGCGGGATTTGGTTATGTTGGCACCTTTGTCCCTAACTCATAGCCGTACACATTGTTTCAAGAATTCATTCATCAACATCCCTTCTATCAAGGAAAGATGAAATTATCATTTGTTTTCATCCGGGAGTTATAGCTGTTTTAGATTGTTTATAGGTCATTCTTTTCGGATGAGCGATGGTTTAAATTAAGTTATTTCTTTGTGGATAGTCTAGGAAAATTCAAGGATGAGAGTGCAGGGCCGGTAAGTTATATATATACATGGCATTGGAACTGCCTTTGTACTGTAAAATGAAGCGCCAACAAGCGGGATTTTGTCGCGAGAATTATGTAATTGAAGGGCTGCTGATTTGTAATAACAAATTATATAGGATTTTGCTTGGGAATAATGAAGCTGGTATCAAGATGCAGAAATAGAAGTTTATAAAAATAAAAAAAGGAAGCTCTTTCTCTACATATTTACATTTAAAACTACGTTTCAACTATAGAGAACACTAGTCAAAACATTCGGTACCGAATTGTTTTTTAATAGTCAACAACTGGATTAATTCATGAAATAAAAAATCAGCAAAAAGATTGAGAACAGTATAAAGCAAACTTTACTAGGGAGTGACTGACATATGGTAGGTTTAGGGTTGCAGGAATGTCTGCGAAATATTTGTAAAAGTCACCCACCTGCAATCCAAGTGGTTCCGTATCTTCTCTCTCATTCTCTTTTGGCCGTTAGACTTCTCATTTCTCTCTCTCTCTCTCTCTCTCTCTTTGCTACATCAACTTGTTTCTGTCTTTTTTTTTTTTTTTTAATAGTCAAATTCTCTCTCTAATGACTACATCTTCTATTATCTTGGGTGGGCAACTTAGCAACATCTTCTCCTCTCTTTTTGTCAACAACAAGTATTATTCTCATTCGCTCTCATTTTTTTTCTTTTAAGAAAAACTATAGCCCCACCCTGGTCCCCTTCCTTCTTGTTGACAACCAACTGCAAGGAAGCTAAGCGAGGAGATGGCCACTCCCCCTCCTCCCCTTCACCCATTTTCCCCTTCCTCTCCTCATCTCCCCTTCTTTTTCTCCCATCTTTTCCCTTCCTCTTATCCCCTCTTCTCCTCCCATTCCCCTCCCTAGATAGTTTAGATCTATTTGGATCTAGGTTTGTTTGTCTGTTTGTTTTGTTTGGTTGTTTGTCTTTATCTCAGTGGCGGGGACAGTAGTGGCCTTGGATTCTGTCTCTCCTCAAGAGAGATGTGATATCTGGTGGCTGATGTTTTGTCTCTGTTTTTAATGACGGTGGCAACAGTGACACTGGTGGTAGTTCTTAGGATGTGGTGCTCTTCTCTACTCTTTGCTAACCGAAGAACTATGCTTAGTCATAGAAGGTTTTCTTTGTCAAGTTCTGAGTTGAAGTGGAGTGCTTCTCAGGAGTCCTTTTACTGTTGTTTCTGTGTTCCTCCTCCGTGTTCTCTCTTGGTTTCTGCTATGGTATGCCTTGAAGTTTGTGTCGATGTCAAAAGACTAATTTTGCTCATAGAACGCCTCTTTTGACAATTGGGATGTTCTGCGGTCCGCTCTTGTGGGTTTACCATTTGGGGTTTCTGTGATCCTCTCATGTGAGTTTACTGTGTTGGTCTCTAGTTGCGGTTCTCGTCAATGGTCTTTGTGTTAGTTTTCATTTTTTATTTGTTCTTTTATTGTACCTGAATCAGACTCTTTTGTTAGCCTATGACATATGTGATACTCTTTCCTCCCCTGGGGTTTGTCCCATGAGGTTGTCCTATGAAGGTTTTAACAAGGTGATTATATCATGTCGCTCTTTGTACGTCTTTGGTTCTATGAATGAATTCTCTTTCTAAAAAAAAGTATTATTCTCATTCTCTCCTTTTCTTTATATCTTTAATTATAGTTTTAATTTAAAACTGAGTATTATAGGTTTAATTAGGAATGACTTTTAATTTTGGGATTTTGTTGAAATTAATTAGGACTTTGATTAGGGATGAATTATTCTAGGGCCTTGATTTTGGAATTTTATTACAATTCTGTATTCTAGGGTTTAATTACATATGAATTATAATTTTGGGTTTGGTATTGTTGAGATGCTATTATGAGAATTTGTTTGATTTTTTGTTGGTATGTTTGATTAAAATTCTTTCTACATATTTATTCATAGGCTATCTTTTATTATGTCGGATCATAATCGGAATCCCCAAAGAACAAAGAATTTGTTATTTTTTTTAACAAAAAAAATAATGGGCCATCATCTGGTACATTGCCTTCTAGCACTTCTTTATCTACTCCAATATGTGATGAGCAAAATCTTCTTGAGTCTCCCATTGTCGAGCCTCCAGTTGAAAGAGTTGAATCTTAAAGAGTCAATGATGATCATGATTTTAATATCAATTATCTTGAGTGTGATCCAGGATTACGTCGTCTAATATGTAAATATTTGGTGAATGAACAAGATAATGTGCGAAGAGCATATAATCTATCCTGTTGATTTCCTTGTAATTCCTTCAAGTCATTCATTATTTAGCATATATGTCAACTTGCGGAGAAATTCTATTCTTATTGATTTCCTTCCGCATGAGTTGAAAGCTTTAGAAACATAGCTCATGTATTTTCAAAATGATATACATCGTTGTTTGGGCCAAAAATTGACACACCCAGCCCAGCGAAAATTAGGCCCAGAATAAAGCTGCAAAAAATCAAAGAAAGATGGAAGCCCAAAAAACCAGAAGAGACCAGCCCAAGGCTCATCAGAGCAAACAAAGCTGATTTGGGCCTCACAGGCCCAATATAATAGGAAGAGGGAGCCCAGAAATAGGAACAATCCCACGTGACATTTCTGGGATGAAAGTCAGCAATGGCGACTGTCATAGAAGAAGTGATTGAAGGGTTCATGACATCAAGTTGATTCTGAAAAAACTGAAGATCAAATCCCTCTTATATATGTATATTCAGAGATTTTTAGTTGCTGGACCACCTCATCGGGATTGGGAATTCTGGCCCTGGCAGCCTCCCAATCCTTCCTGAATTGCCTGTTGACCTGCCATTGCATCATGGCTGTCATATTATTTTGGGTATCTTGGCTCCTTTGTGTTGTGACCTCTTGTCGTAACACAGATTCCTGTATCAGGTTCATCCTTCTGGAGCCGGTCCTGGACCTCCTGCTCCCTGTGCTGCCATGTGCTGAATGCCGGGCATCACATCGCCTTCCTTGCTTTAAGGAAACCACTACTTCCTCAGTTATGTCAACAACTAGTGGAAATAAGTTCGGCAGAGAACTTCATTTTCATTGACAAGTTGATACGATTGGTGTTGATTCTTCCTGTTTCTACAGCAACAACAGAGCAAGCTTTCTTATGTATGAGAATTAGTAAGAATCGACTTCGAAGCACCATAACTGATGAATTCCCTGCTGATTGTACGATCCTCCACATTGAAAGAGAATTTGCCAATAATATCGATAATGCATCGATAATTGAGGAATTTAAGAGTTCCAAGCCTCGCCGGGTTAGATTTTAGATTTAAATAGTGTTGTTTTGTATTGCATTGCATTTACTTTTGGTTTTAGTTTTAACTTTTGTATTTGTTGAACTTTTATTTATGAAAAGAGATGCAGTTGAGGGTAAGGCTCATTATGTCCCCTCTAACTAGGTGTATCTTTTTGTGTTTATTAATAAAATTCACTCATACAGTCGAGTTTGGTATGTAAGTTTTCCCCAGCCGGCTTTTGAATCCTACAAATATAATCATCCCACCATTTGTCGGCTTCATGTTCTATCACGTGGGTTGCAAATCAGATTCAATACGGTGGTGGAGAATTGCAAACTATGTTGATCAAATTTAAAGATATTGTTTGTTATGTAATTTTCCATTACTACTTAACTTGTGTTAGTATGAAATTTTGTGATTGGCATTCTTTAGACTTTAGTATAGGCTAGTATATGTGGTAAATGTGCTGTGATAAAATTCGAAGGCAAGATTGACTCTCGCATGATTGATACAGCTTATGACTCCATGAATTGAAAGTGTTGAGGTCCAAAAAAGTCCATGGTTATGCCCAAATAAGTTTCCGGCCCAATATGATATTGTATTAAGAAAAGTCACATATCATAGTACACGAAGGCTCGTCATATACAAGTCATAGTCCAAATGCCATGCTAAATAAATAATTTGTCATGCCAAGGACTGAGATATTATTATAAAATACAAGCCCATGCTAAACTAAGTGCCATGTCCCTCTTCAAAGATGATAAAATTGAAGCACGTCAAGTGACACGCCACTCCAAACAAGGAATTATTATTCCGCACCTAATCACGCCACAAGCTTAAGTGGGCTCCAAGCCACTAGAATACCCGGGGCTTGCTTGAGTGGGTTGTGGTATGGATGGTAACAAATTGACATGAGGCCCATTGATGTGCAGAGAAATGGAAGTCTCAGGTTGCTTAGGAGCCTCAGACTCAAGCCCATTTCTTAGGCTCAAACATGTGGGTGAGCACAAAGGAGAAAATAACCTATTAGCTTAACCAAATTAGCCCAACACCTCAAAAAACATAGGCCAACACTTGTTGAGGTTAGCCCATTTATTTTGACAAACCAAAAGGCCCATACAATTAGAAAAGAGAAGAAGCCAAAGCCTCAGCTCCTTGCTAGAAAAAACAGAAGCCACGAAGGAGATGTCCACATATACAGAGTTGCTGGAAAGGAACAAGTTCCAAGCACAAAACATCCAAATAACCAAGGGATATTAGCGTGCAAGATGCCAAGAAGAGAAGCACCCTTCGAACCAGCATATATACCCCAATTCCTTCCCTAATCAGACTTGGCCATGGAAGAAGGAAGAAAAGAAAAGAAGGAGATGGCTGGAAATAGAGGCAGCTGCGGGAAAGAGCATTGAGCTCCCAAAAATCCCTGATTTTGTGAGATTGGATAGAGAAGATTTTGCTAGAATAAGATAAGTCAAAGAAGGGGAGGAGAAAGGAAGGAAAAAGCTTGGCCAAATTAGATAGAAACCATTAGAGTTTCTTTGAAAATGTTAGCTTCCAGCGGCTATAAATAGGGCATCTTCTACCTAACAAGAGGGAACCACATTTCAGAGAGCAAGCTTCCTCTCTTACTCCCAAAACCCAGCAATTTCATGCTCAGCCCATCCTTTTCCCTTAGTTTTCTCTCTTGGCAAGCTGTTTTGACACTTGACAGAGTCTGTCAAGCTGCCGGAAAAAGCACTCAAGCCATCTTTTTCTCTCTTTCCCTAGGATTACATCGTCTAACACTCCCCCTCAAGTTGGAGAGTGAATGTCAAGAACACCCAACTTGCGTATCAAAGTTGAAAACTTGTCCTTCCCAAGGGGCTTAGTGAACAAATTTGCCAACTGGTGTGTCGTACGCACATATTCTGTCGCTACGGTTCCATCTGCA